CGACCATGTGCTGAAGTACCTCAAGAAACACCAGAGAGGAGAAGTAAAGGCGCTTCTGTGCACTTCAGTGGAGGATTATACTCCGTCCGACGTGAATCTCGAGGACTTTTTTCAGAATGGAAAGTATGAAAGCGAGGCAGCCAGGAAGTCGGACTTACCACAGTGGGTACTTGATGCTTTGGTAAAAGGTAAGCTGGCCCCGTTCATCAGCGATGCTCTGGTACTAAGAAGTACCTTCCTTCATGTCCAGGTGGAGAACATGCAGAGACCTAGCGCGCACAGCACAGCTTTGCCCATTCGACAGATTATCTATGGACTGCTTCTGAAAGTATCTCAAAACACTGAAACTGCTTCTTCGAGTAAACAGAGCAATGAGCTGCCGGTTGTATGTGAATTTGACAGACTCCAGAAGACACTTAAAAAAACATTTGTTCAAGCAGCAAGTCCACCCACAGATTTTTATGACGATCATTTCTCTTTGGACAAGTTAATGGAGGTAAATGGTTGTCACAGCAGATCACAGTTAACAGTGTTTCACGAGTGACAAAAAATAGTTGGGACTCATGTTTGCCAGCTGGTCGCTAAATGTGATGCCTGAACTAGGCTACCCCTGTAAGTAATGACTTAATACAGAGGCATCTACAGGGCTCTGAGCTTGCTGTGTGATACTTGAGAAGCTACACAGATTGCTTTTCCGTCGCCCCCAAGCGTACCAAGACAAATTAGATGAAAAATTGTTTGCGTGGATATGTAGCATTGCCTAAATTTTCCATTCTAAGCCCTTCTTTCATCTTATGCATTCTGATCACGAATCTTTGCTTTTATCATTTTAGCAAATAATTCGGTTTAATGAAATCTAGAAAAGTGCAGTTCAACACTGCAAAACTTAATTTACACTTGATCAAGCTATGGATTTTTCAGAGCAATGTTCTGAAACAGTAACTGACCTGTGCTTTTTTACTAAAAATCACCATTATTTCATCTATGAACCTTGCAGCTGTCCGGCAATTCTACCTGCCACAAATACGTGTCCTGCTAATGTGGTCCCCTGCTGCTTGCCAGACGGAACAACACCTGAAAAACACAGCTTGTAATCAAAGTTGCACTAGGTTAGTTTCAGTCACAATTATCAATTCAATATATTTAAATTGTAATGATTAAGACTTTATAACTTGCTGTGAACAGAAAGTAATCTCCCATTCTCAGGGTAATTTCTGAAACATCTCAAAAATAAAATCTGTGCCTTTTAATATTGCTTATTTTAGTCACATGCTCTGCCCATTGTTACATTCAGATCAAATGTTAACACATCTGCGTGTGGGGGCTGTGCTGTATGTTTTTAATCACTTGCTGGTGGCTATTTCATACAGGAACCAAGTCTGTCACTACTACAACCATTAAATGCTAGAGATAGCTTGGAAACGTACAGGTGATCTCACACACGTTTATTATTTTAAAGGAGCAACATGCAAACACTTAAAGGTTTGAAAAAGCATGGTTTGGGATTTTAAGACACCTTAATGACACCTTAATTTGGTCTTGGTATATATGCTGTTCAACGAATTTTGAGTTTCCACTATTATAATAACACTCGTAACTAAATATATGGGAATTAGCAGTTCAGCAGAAAGTTAGAAGAAAGGTTATTCTGCATTTAAAGTACTGTAAGGAAAACTGATTTCAGCTTGTCTCCTACTGTGGGGATGTCTGCCTAATAGGCAAAACCGTCCTAACCAAGGTTCACAACACACTTGAATTGCAGTTGAACAGCCTGCTGCACTTTGTGTGCATGAAGTAATGGACAGAGTCTGTAACACGGCTTTTTAGAAATTAAATAGCACAACAAAGAAGGAGCGTGCTAGGAATACATTGCAGGTGAAAAATGAGCACTTTACACTTAAGATATTGTTGAGATTATAGGTAAGCATGTTTTAAACTTACCAAGAACAGACATCACCATTACCTCTCACAAAGGAAGTGTAACTTCTAAGAGGAGGCACAAAATGAATTTATATACACACACACACACACATATATATATATGGCAAGCTTCATTTGCCATACGAAAGTAATATTAATGTGTTACAGTTACAAGATTTTCCAAGCAAGTCAGCTTTTACATAGGAGTTTAAATGGTCGCCTGATTTGAAGAAGACTCTGAAACCTCCTAAAATCCAACCTCAGGCAATTGTAAAAAGTGACTTTTATTCTAACTAACATTTTGCGGTGTGGTTTTTAAAGCTTAAGTAGTATTTAAAAAAAATACTTCCTGTTCAGAATATCTGTGAAACTTTTTTATGAAAACATGAAGTATTAGCTAGTTTAAACACAAACTTATTTGCATTTTGAAAATTGCTCACTGCAAATAAAGTCTCTTACCTTTATTTTTCCATTTTTTTTTTTATTATTTATTTTTAGGTGCCCGAGTCATGCCGTCAAACGCTTTTGCTGGACACTCTAGGAGTGAATATGAGTTTCCTAGAATCCATCCCCAGTCACTTACAACTCCCTGTTGCTGTCACCTGTTACTGGATACGTTGTTCAGAACCAAAAGTTACACTGCATCAATTAAAGGCTTTACTCCTAATGATGGTGTCTGGAGAATTGCACAGGATAACAGGTGATCCAGGTATATCTCCAAAGAATACAATCTTAGATGTTCAGGTGCTATGAAAACCTGTACCTTAATTCATTTTTTTCCTCATTTATGGTGAGTTGTCCAAATTCAGGTGAATTAGCATTGATTTACATTATATCCTGAGGTGTCAGTCTTTGCATTGATACAGAGCAGAGCAGCAGTGCTAGCCATCAATGTAACATTCTATATAGGTAAAACAGTGCTTTTCCATCCTGTCAAACATTAATTTGCATTTATAAATAGTTTTTTTTAGGACTAAAAGAATAAGGTGGATATAAAAGTTACAAAAAAATGAGCTTAGCATACTGATGCATAAAAGAGAATACTATTGATGCTTTCTCATAGAATTTTTTTTTTCCTTTTTATGAGTTTTTCTAAAATCATCTGTACTTAAAAATGCTGAGTTGTACAGGCACCTTTTATCTTTGTGTGCACTGAGAGAGTTTGGAAGTACTAAATTAGCATAAAAATAGTTTCAGTAATAGTTATACCTATTAGAGTTATGATGGCATTTCCTCTAGGAGCAGTCCTTGATTTGATGGCAAAGATTACGCATGCCAGGGTTATACACTTTCTTTAGGTTCTAGTCTATAGAAGCTGGACAGACATGGTTGCCACCTGCTTCTCAAATAGATGGGAGCAAGAGGGAAGTCTCATTTGGAATTTATCCACTCACATAAGAGTGCAGCTAGTGACCTGACAAATAGAATTCCCGATTTCACAATTTCAGATTCTCATGGATATTGATACTTGAATTTTTACTCAATTTTATGTCTTAAAGTTCAGTTTGAGACACTTAAAAATACTACTGATGCTTCCTGGAATAGAACAGGAGGTTTGCAGCCCCTATACATTGCAGACACCTTTCATACTGTTCACAGCAGAACACTTACTTGCCCATCATTTTTATTTATTATGTAGATCCCACAGTTTCACGTGCTGAAGATGACAGTATTGCATATAATGAATTTCTAAAATGGAAGGAAAAGAAACCACAAAATAAAGACTTTGATTTAGATGCTGCACACAGTTTTTGCCAGTGGCAGTGCTGTCTTCAGATGGGATTCTATCTCAACCAGCTGCTTTGCAGTCCTCTCCCTGAGCCAGAGCTAACTAGGTAAGGATGTTTCAGAGATCTGCTTTCCACGAGCCCCTGATGGAATGTGTTCACATTGTTCCATTTTCCTGTGTCAAACTCCTTTAGCCAATTCTACTACATTTGAACTCCCTTCTTTAAAGATACTAATATGGAGAAAAATACTGAGTAGCATAGGTAGCCCTTAGGAGCTCCCTGTTGGATCCTGTATGTAGTTCAGAACTGTTCTGTTCACTGAGCAGCACGTTTCTCAACCTGTCCTGATGAGGTGTGATTCTAAATGAGGATTCTCCCCTTCCTTTGAGCAGGCTTTACAGTGGGACCCTTGTGCAGAGGCTGTATCAAGAGCTTAAATCAACGCCTTCAGTGGAAAATCTCTTCAGTTTGTCTCCAAAAATGACTCAGCTTTATCAGGTTTTGTTAAATACAGTGGAGTCAACTGTATCTCCAGACTTCTTTCAGAAGATTACCAAAACCAAATCTAAGTCCAGCAGAAAGAAGAAAGCATCTAATAAGAAAAAAACCACCATCAGGTGTGCTATAGAAGAAACTCGGCATTTCTGCAATGTTAATAGGTTTGCGTCTCTTGGGGTGGATGACTGAAAGCTTTATTGCTGAAGTGCTTAACACCATGCAGATGGAAGATATTGAATTAAAATATGTGACTGTAGTGGAATTTGCCCAGCTGTTCTTACACAAGTTCCTGATTCAATCTTTACCAACAATTCTTGCTTCAGGGAATTTTTAAACTTTTTTTTTCTAACTAACACTCATAACACTCATAATAAAGGCTCTGTATAAAAGTCAGTGTGTGGTTTGTTTTTTTTTTTTCTTTAAAGGTATCATGAAAATGAGAGCAAAGTTGTTCAGCATTTGAGAGGTGGACTATTTTAGAGGAATTATTTTCCTGAACACTTCCAGTTGGTTATCCCTCCATCTCCCTGAGCACTTCTGACTTTGAAAAAAAATGTCATTTTTGTCTTTGAGGAACAGTCATTAGAATCTTACAGATAGATTAAAATGGAAATTGACAAGTTTAAAAATATTGTAGAATCAGTCTTCAGAGGTAGAGCATTGGTACTTTTGGGGAGAGCTATCTTTACTCAGTGACAACTGAGTAACTTGTGCTTGTGGTCACTACAGGTACTGAACTATACTCGGAGAAACTTCAACTTCTATTCTCCCTCTCCTTGGTATGTGAAGTAAGAGTTAAATGCTTCCATGCATATACAAAGCTATCACCTGGTAGCAAGTTTCAGCAGGTTTGGTAATTCAGAGTAATTGTGTAGAATCTTCTGCCATTGGCAAACTTGTCATTCAAGTTAACCTCCTTTCTCTAAAGGCTATACTAAAATTACAGACCTGTTGAACTTGCCCCCATGCACATCAAGTTACTTGACAAGTGCTTACTATCAACATGGTAATACCAAAAACCAATTTCTATTTAAAAAAGAAATCCTACATCATCAGTATTTCTCCGTGCTTTAGTCAATTTACATAAATGCTTTTCTTATAACTTGGGTTTTCAGCGTCTTCCCCATGTGAAATCTGATTACTACATTTCTGGTTTTTCTCCTTAAGAATCCGTATACCTTTTCTTACATTCAGGAAAATCACAATTTCCACCTTCGGTCCTTAAAGTTTTTCCTGTTACTTACCAGAACTTAACCTTTGATTCTGGTGTCATTATGTGCTCAGTCCTGGCTACGTCGCGTATGTGACAGCTATCCACATGGAAGTAACTCACTAAAACTTGGTCTGTGATACCATACAACTGAGTCTTGATACTGCCATTATACAATCAGTGAGAAAATACTAGATTTATAACATCTATTACATTCCTAAGAAAATTAATTTTTGAGATAGTCTGTGATAGTACTATTTAACATTTCTTCCAGTACAAAAACTACTTAAACTACCAGCAGATGGCACCTATGCTCAACCGTACAGCAAGTTACTAGAGCTTTACAACCCATTTCTAAATAAGACTATTTGCAGCAGTGTACAAAGTCACACTTCTATCAGATGACTTTATTTAAAGTTGAAAGGGGTTAAATTTAGAGTTAGTGATTTTAGTAACTAAAATCCTTATTCATCCAAATCATCCTCTGATTCTTTATGATCCCATGTGTTCATTTTACCAAGCTTGTAGTTCTTTATGGTTTTTAATCATTACAAATAGTCACATTTAATAAGTCTTAAATATAAAAAAACAGGCATGTTTGATTCCACTTGGCTAGTGTTGTGAGAAGAGAGACCTTCATTTACTCTGAATCCCATATGGGAAAAATGCTGGAGAACACAAATTCTTAGGACTTGCTGAGAAGCAGTATCTTCAATTAGATAGGTCAGAAGACTGGGAAAAACTGAAGTATTCCACTTTTGGATAAACACCCTGCTACAATCACATGACATTTTGTGAGTGCTGGACTTGATGATTAAGAATTAGTCTACTGGATATATGTTCTCAGTCCAGAATTCAGCTGTTCTTTGTTGCTGATAAAATGAAATATACCTCATTACAAACACCAGTCCTGTATGTGGAAGAAAATAATTACTGATTCTAGGCTTACTATTCAGAATTTAAATCAAATGCTCCAGTTTTGGAGTCATTACAGGTTTTCAATCTTCTTTGAGGGAAAAATAAAAAAGAAAAAAAAAGGCTCTTACTTATTAGAACTGAAAAGTTCTCTATTCCGTGCTTTAGTAAGAGCAACTAAATTCCTTGGTTGCTGTCTATTTTCACCTCAGATTTTCTGGAAAAATCCCACTATGGATTCAGTTGTTCTGGACAAAAATCTCTCAAACTTGCTGTTAGGTGGTAAGGATCAAGAGCAGAGGCAAAAACGGCCATGGAATTCAGTCCACTCATTCTTCATAAATAATGGGATTGAGGTAGATGAATTACTTCTTACTGTTTCATCTTCCATTGGAAAACACAGCAAAACTTAAGTTTGGCATATTTAAAGTGAATTGCACTCAAAATTAAGTTCACCCTGCAATAAGTCTTAAGAGACTGAAATTTTATCTTGTCTAGACCAACATACCTTTTTCAGAAAGTGAGACTAGTGCGGGAAACGGGTGCATCACAAAATTTGTTTAAAGACTAGAGAATAACACTTCCAGGCTAAGACAACAAATTGGCATTCATCTGCACTTCTTGCACTTACCCGGACTTCTGGGACTTCCAAGTGCAGAGCACGAAGTGGAATATCAACAAGTTAAGACTTACTTTGTGAAAGGTATAGATGCTGTACTTTCTCAAAACCCAAATTTGTTCAAGAGATTCTTCATCAGCATGCACTGTCAGTTTTTACCATCTGTCTTTGCTGAAGCATACTGAGTATTTTATTAAGTGTTCTGAAATTGTATTGAAATACTGAACAACTGCTGACAAATCTGTTCAACTTCTGAAAGGCAGAACTGCTAGAAATAAGAAACTTTTGCTTGAAGACACGAGAGCGTTTCTCTAGCAGGTCATCTTGTTTGGGCCCTACCAGCTCAGTGGTTCACATCCTGAAGGAAGAGGCGAGGGTCTCTCCCTTTACACGACTAGAGCTCCTGCACATCAGTAATCCAGGTAACGCGTGCACCGAGCCGGCGCAGGGTCAGCCAGAGTTGCCTGCGTACAGCAGACTCAGCAGTGTGCTCGCACCCTGGCTGCAGCCCCGCTCCCTGACCAAGGCTGGGAATCTCCAGGGGACAAAAAAACCAGAGAACAATTAGAATAACCTCTTAGCAGAGAAATCCATACAGCACTTCCCAAACAGCCATGTTTTCCACGAACTCCCCAGATTTCGCACATGGCATATGGGGCAAGCCAGCAGGGGAAGTGCAGAAATATCCCAGTTTACGACAACTCCTCATTGACTGACAGCAGGGCCCAGAGCCAGTACCAATGCTACACTTCCAGGCTGCAGTGTGAAAAGCCGTATTATCCACATGCTTTCTAGCAAGAGGTAATGGCTCCAACTCCCCCTAACGATCTTTAGAGATCCTCTTCTCAAGATTGCCTAGGTGATTGTTCCTTGCTTTTCCTCAAGGAATGATGAGAAGACACTGATGACAACACCTGCAATTGGATTTTGAGGAAGAACATCATTTCCAATTAGTGAATATCAGAGTATTCAGACATTATCATATATTAAAAATACCTTTAACATATCAAACCATGAATCTATTACAATGCTTTTCTAGCCAAAAAAAGTCATTCTGTAGGTTAAAATTTTAGGTTACACTACCAGTAAAAATTTTATTTTTATGATCAGGGTAGAAGAAGGAAGAGGAAGGAGAACAAAGTTTCTTCGAAAGAGGGGTAAGATTTTTTGCCATTAGAGTGAGCATTAGTGCATTCATTTTCTAATTCAATAGACAACAAATCATTTCAATAAGAGTACTGTCAAGTGATCTAACAGTCATAAGCTGAAGTAAATACGGAACAAGACACGAAACAAAGCTTGTACCTGAAATTATATCAAAACAAGCATGGCTCATCTGGTGTAAATGCCAGTTTCTTTTAAAACAAAGAGACAACACCCTTTTAAGAAAAGCAAACATTTACTTCAAATTGCAGTATAGGCTTTTCAATCACAGAAAAAGAAAACAGTGATCCGACAGCGCTCACATCCTGTGCAAAAAAAACCTCAGGATACAAAAAAAAAACCTGTAGCACAAGGTACTTGAGCTGCTTACACATTGCAGGATATAAAGTAAATAAATACAGTAGCTAGAATATGGCACTCTTGTGACAGACTCTAAACCCAGTGGAATGCCTCCGAAATTTTTTTTTATCCTTTTATTAGTAGCAAAGTCCCACCACCATAAAAGTAAAATAGTACAATGTTTTAAATAAAAACAAACTAAAATATTTATATCTAAGAGAAGGATTTTACACAGTTATATCTTTTTAAGTGCAGAAAATGGGACTTGGGCTTAGATCTTTCTTTAAATTCACCCGCCACACATAAACAAAATCCCATTCAATCTCAAAAGTAAATTAATGTTTGAGGAAAAAAGTTGCATAATTTCATTTGTTACTCCCACAGCTGGAAGTTAAATTCTCAACAGTCTCAAAACATGAATGTTCATCACTAGCCAGTGAAAGAAAGGACTTGTCAAAAGCCCTCAGGATTTCCTTATCCTCCAAATATTGTTTTGCTTTCTCCTACATCTTTAGATAGCAATTCCTAAGTTTGCAAACAAAAGAATGCAATATGCATCATACATCAAGAAAAGACGAAGTTGACGACGAAGAAGAACTTCCACGTTTCTGAATCTTCTCCTTGCTTCTTTCAAACTTCTTTATGATCTCAGTCACTATGCACACCGAGGAAGTCAGTCCCAGAAGAAACAGTAAATCTGGAAAGAGATAATTAGCCTTTTTAAAATTTGCTATTAAAGGCTGAGGGCATACTTACAAAAGACCAAGATGCACAAGACTTTCAAATTGCCTCCCAAGCATTAGGTAAGTTTAGGAGAAATGAAGCAAGAATCAATTTTGGCAGGACCAGACCATTCATACGCATAGTTTATGTGCAAATCACAAGTACAGGCACGGTATTTCAAACTTCTAAAGTATTTCAGACTTATTTTTATTAACAGCTATGAAAACAAAGAACACTAAGCATCATAATTAACTTCACACTGAAAAATATTAATATAAAAAATGACACTATAATAAAAATAATTATGTAAAAACATGTATTTCATTACATTTATCTTTAACTCTGGAACAAACCACAAAAGTAATAAATGTAAGTCTTAATGAAGACAACAGCATTATCTATCTACAGCTTCTCAAAATCCTCATGTCTCTTTTTATCCTACAACAGTGCAGTTGATTATTTAATAAAGGATCAAAATTTCTAAATAAGGTGTTGATATTTAGAGCTAAAACTTTATAAATAGCAAGATTAACAGTGCTTAAAAAACATCAATAAATTATGTTTCATTTTTGTCTGCATCATAATCTAATATACACAAGCACCTAAAAAAATTTAAGAACACACCGATCGGTTCTCTACCATACACATTTAAATCATGGTTCCCAAATAAAACATGGAAAAGGATTTTTTTTTTCTTAAAAAAAAAAAAAAAAAAAGAAGTCAGCAGGCTTTGTATTCCTGTTGCATGCAAACAGCCAGAAAGTGCTCTTAGAGGACCGTCGGTGAATGCATTTACAAGTTAATCCTTAATGTACAATTTTGAAAAGCAAACTGTTCTTACCTAAGACACTCAGGCTCTCTGTTTGGAAAACCTTCTGAAGTGGAGGAAAGTAAATGACCAATAACTGCCCCATTATAGACCCAAGGACAGCATAGCAGAACATTTTGTTACTGCAAAGTCCAATCTCAAACACAGATTTTGCCTGTAAAATAAACACCACATTACACAGTATGTGTCATCTTAATTATCTCGACAAGAAAATAACTCATCGCTACAATTTCTTTTCATCTAAATGGAGTACAAATCTTGTCTTCACAGCCAGTGACTTGCATACTGAGCTCACTTTTCTGCAAGTACAGTGCGTTAGAAGGTGCTCTCTACACTAGAAGGAAGTGTTTTTGTTGACCCTGTTCACACCAGGAAACAGACTGCAAATCAGAGTGAATGTCGCAAGGTGTACTAGCAATGTACTCTTCTCCAACTAGCAGACTTGTTTCCTTAAAACAAAAAAATAGAGAGAAAGGACAGAATTAAGAATTTGGATTATGGGTTTAGGGTTACGAGATAAAAAAAGTTTCAGATTCTGGCAAGGATGCTGAACTGACTGAATTTTCAGGGAAAAACCCAACCAAATGTAATACACAGCACTATAAAGGACCATCACATTTCAGGTTTTACTAAAAATTTCCTTGCTCCTGTTGGATCGGAAGCATTACTACCAGCTCCGCATCACATAAACAAATTAAGGAAACTAATCTGTAATTTAAGAAATCCCACCTAGTAAATATGTGAAACTCTGAAGCTTAATAGCTGGTGTGAAGTAAATCTGCAGGAAAACGTTTGAAAAAACATTGCAAGATCCTCAAAGAAAATTCTGCTTATTGTGTAAATGAACAACACGAATTACTTACCTGAGATCTAGAACTCAAAGCATTGAACATATCAAAAAATACAAAACAGGTGAAAGTCATGGTTGTATCTCGAGGCGTTATTACATTGTCTCTTAACTGCCAACAAAAGAAAATGAAACTGCTTTAGCATGCTTTAAACCCTTCACAACTGAACAAAGTTATTACAATAATTCAAGTTCTACTAGCTAGTAAATGAAAGCAAAAGCAACTTGTTTGCCCCAAGCTAATTTCATAAATCATACAAAAAAAATTATGCACCTGTAACTTGTAACAATTTGTAATTCCAAGCTGTGATTAAATGAAGCCTCTTGACAAACATTTATGCAAGCACATGAACTACAAAGAATTCTAGGATGCACTACCAAAGTTCAAACAACATTTTTCTCTACTGGGAAAAGAAAGTCAGATGGCTGTTTCATATTAGTCTGGCTAGATTTGTACAATTACTTTCTGTGGGCCAAGGTTTCCCAAGGAGATTTGGGACCTGGAAAACACTGTGTTAAAATAGAGATTGGGAAATAAAAGTGTATTCTTCATTTCAACAACTGCTTCGAAAAATCTTCCGCTCTCTAATCTGCTAGCTGAATAGATTATTATGTAAGCATCGACAAAACTTGGAACTAAGTTTATACAAATTCTGAATTCCAGGTGCTGGTAAAAAAAGGACTAATTTTAAATTAATTTGTTACTGCTTTAGGTTTTGTACATTTGTCATACCTCTCTCCAGAAGACAAACAGAGTTCCACACACGATAATTATTGATGAAACCAGTATTTTAACAATCAGGTTTTTTGTCAGAATGCTGTCCTTCAAATTTCTTGGAGGCTTCTGAATAACATCTTTATCCACAGGCTCCACGCCAAGACTTACAATTAAAAGAACATCTTAGATTTTTATCATCATAAAAATAACTCACTGCTTCTAACTTAAGGACTAGATTTTTCCAAGTTGAAAGAAAGATATTAGTCTTCTCTCTACACATTCAAATAAGCACATGATATTTTCACTTTCAGAAAACTGAGTTATATGTATTTGTAACAGGCGGTATTCTAACACTGCAGTTTGAGAATCCATAAATACATTATATCAGACAGTATTTAAATTACCAGATGTTAATTTTAAAGGAAGCTGCAATATTAGTTATGTTCCCTACTTCTGTTACCATAATCAACCCAGATAAGGAATTTACTGCTAGTTCCTTTCCACCTCTCCCTCCACCATCTATGTGTGGTGAAGAGGGTCAGAGGAAGAACCCAGAGGAAAGCCAGAATCCTGCATGCAAGCTTTATGGGCATATCCATGAGTCTTTAGGTATACATGCTACCCCTGTAATTATTGTTAGATACTAAAGCAAACTAAAAGGAACAGACATAGAACTATGTTGCAAACATTGTAATTCCAAGAAAAGGTCTGCTCTTTCAAAAGCATTTAACACTTTGCAGAGTTTCCTTTACGAGCAACCGTATTCCTTGCCGAAATAAAAGGACTACAGACATCTGATGGAATTCAAAGTCATTACTTACCTTTGAGCTGGAGGTCCATCCATAATAATATTGATCCACAAGATCTGCATGGCATTGAGAGGATTAGGAAAGTTCATTAATGTAGCCAGTGAGATTAAAGTCAGTGCTGCTATACTCCTGTTGAAAGAATCCGTTTTTAAAACTGTCAGCATGGAACATTTCTGAAGACCCACTGACAACTGCTTTGTAATCCACACTTCAACTGTTTCAGAGCAGATATGGATTTTAACAGGGTGAATCATGACTGATGTAAGCCTTACTTTAAAGGTAGAACATTAATTCATTTAGAATACTCATCTTGTCACAGTCCATATTTAAAACAGTGTTCTTTTGGCAATTAAAAGATAGCAAATTCGCATCTTTAAAAAACTCCCAAACTTTAAGATAACATTTCAGAGTTATCACTCACCTTCACCTAATCGATTTTTTACTGGGGAACTGGGTCCTATACTTTTATTGTGCCAGAAGTGGAACTTCTAAACGTGGTTTTGAAAAAACAAACTGCTTTTACACTTTTGATGTAAACACAACCACTCTGCACGTGTCACTGTTATGACTAATAAGTCAAGGCAAGGTACTACCCAAGCTCCCCAAATACCTACACCACCTCTCATTATTAGCAAGATGAGAAGGCTAGGCAAGAGACTGAAAATAGATTAGCTGTTTGCAAGCTTGGTGTTAGAAACCTCTCTAAACAAGTATGCACATATTGCTCTCAGAGCAAGATTAAGTGATTTCATAACCAAGAAGAAGAGTACAAGGTTTATAATAATTCCAGATTTAGTGCTCTACTGAACCCTACTATGCTCTCCCTACAAAGAGGGACATAAAAAAAAAAAGGTAATTCATTCATCAAAGACTTGAGGCTACCATTCCCAAGGCTTACAGGCAAGCAGACTTTCCTAGAATATCTACACATAGTTATTTTTCAGAAGCAGATTTCTAGTCTCCTACCAACACAGAACACTAGTCAGGATTGAAAGTATATCACACTTCTTATAATTTTGATGCAAGTTGTAAGAGGTCGGTGTTTTTCTGCGTTTTGTTTTGTTGTGGGTTTTTGTTTGTTTTGGGGGGGCTTTTTTTTGGGGAGGGGTATTTGGCATTTGTGGGGGTTTTGGGGTTTGTGGTGGGGTTTGTGTTTTGTTTTGGGGTTTTTTTTTTAATTTCTGCAACTTTACTCAACCACTCTGAAATGCTATGAAGGCTTTGGAAAAGTACATGTACGATGTGGCAAAGAGGAAAACAATGTTCCTGAATGCAGATTCAATAAGATAAACTAACAAAATTTTTGAAATTAAGGCTTAATGAACTCCTCTTCTTCTCTTGCAGACACAGGGATCCTTATGTGAAAGAAAAGTAAGTCACCTTCACAGAGCAAACTCATTACACAAACCAATATATGGATTACAGAAAAACTAACCTCCTGTTTCCCTGGTTTCCTCCATTTGAGGAGGGAATGACTACTAACTTCTCTTTTAAACGAGGACCCAAAGGTAGCTATGCTGTTTGTCTCCATCCTCTCAGTTATTGACTTTCCACATCTTAACAGGAAGAACTGTGACCAAGTTAGATGTCTGTTTATTGCACTATTTGCTGGTTCTTTAAAAACAAAGCAAGCCACCAAATACAAAATACTGAAAATTCAAAAGCATAGCATATGAGCATCCTATGTGAAATGTTCCCATGAATTTATGCAGCATCTACTTCATGATGCTTTGATTCATTCACAATGTAGTTAGACCCTTCTGATATTGGCAACTTTTCAAACTTACGTGCTCAGTTGAAATCTAACAAAATTTTTTATGTTATTATAAATTCCTTTACCCTCTTCAATTGCAGACCTGAAATTAAAAACAAAGATTGCATCACTAGACAACTGAGACTACTACCAGAAAAGCTTAAAACAAACCAAAAAAGCTATTACTTTAAGCAGTGATATAAACGTCAAGAAACAAATGGAGCCATGGTTCTTATAACTTTGGCAGTCATTGTTTTTCAACTTGACTATGAGATTAATCACAACAGTTACTCTTCCAGCTGCATAACTTAACTTTCAAAATGAAATGTCGATAGTAAAATCTCTTCCTTGTTCAAGATCCACCATCATCCTTCATGAGACCTTCCAACTCAAATAATTTAAAAAAAAAAAACCAAAACCAAAAAACACACACACACACACTTTTACAAAGCCACAGAAACAGAGCACGTCTTTAGAAGACCATGTATTCTTACTGCACCAGAATGAAATATGTATAGACCACCTTCTCAACCTCTAGCATGTGTCGCAACTTGCCTATCACATTATCACAGTTATAGTGGTGAGAAAGTGGTTTTTAATACCTAAATCAAGTCTACTCTGCTGCAAATAAAACCGATTTCTTTCTTCCATTTCCCCAATAGCCAAGAACAACAATTAATCAGCATTTCTTCTCTAACTTTTAAGACAAAATATTAAAGGGGCTGGGGCAAGGATGTAAAACTATGGAAGCTCACACATTTTTTTCCCCTTAAGTGTTCACCACGCTCTTCATTCTCCTGTTGAGAGCTTTCCTGATGAAGTGAGCAAAACTGGATAAAGCATTCCAGCAAAAGCCTCATCAAGCCCACGTAAAGTTAAATACTTACCACACATCTCCTTCCTGTGCACTGTTCTGAATATCTTAAAATTACTCCCTTTCTCTTTTGTTTTTGTACAACAGCACATTGCTGTTGGCTGAATTAGTATGGAAACCTTTTAACTCTCCGATCATCCTCTGACATACTGTTACTTAGGTAAATTTTCTTACACTGTATTTTTACATTTCACTTCTTACCAGGGGTTAAGGGTCACCCTTTCACACAAACTGAAGTGTTCTGAGGTTGGTGCATAATTTCAGAACAAAGGCTATCTCACTAGACAGCAGTCCAGCTCGGCCAACAACCACTACCTTCAAAAGTCAGATGGATTACATGCACAATAAAGTTTAGCTATTATGTCTTTGAAGTACAGCAAACAAACAAGAACAATTAACGAATAGCTGGTTACCAGAAGTTGGTAACTCATTTTCACCTGTGATATTTATAGCTTATATTCCTTTCCTTTTCTGAAACACCACCACATTAAATGAGTTGAAAACAAACAGCACTGCATAATTTTTTTAAATCTTGAGAGGAATGCTCTCTCACATTTTTACATAAGATTACTTACTTCTGAAGTAAGAAATTAAATGAAGATTAATCCTGCTGACAGCTAACAGACTCTCAATTTCACCTCAGTCATGTTTCCAAATATACTACCACCATAATTCTACTTGGAGAAGCAGAAATACAGGTTAGTTTTTATAGCATATACATGCATAGCCTCCTTTGTTACTGACACCTGATCTATGTACAAGACCAAAGTAGCAAAAGGTCTAAATATGTAAATACATTCTTATATTATTAACATACAAAAAAGGCAGAAATGCTTAGTTGCCCCTTGTACTATTATGTTCCCAGTGTTTTTTTGAGAGGATAATACAGGTAATCACCATAAACAGAATTCTCCTGACTTAGCGAGAATTCATTAACAGCTGCTACGCTTACACGTTCAGGGAATTTCCGTTGTTTTAACACACGCAACATTTCATTAAAACCACATAGCACAAGGTACGTACATAAATGACACCTACATTATTGTCTGAAAATCATCATCCACGAGGATCATATCTGCTGCCTCTTTACAAACATCTGTTCCGGTTTGTCCCATTGCTACACCAATATCTGCAGCCTTCAGAGCAACAGCATCATTCACTCCATCTCCTGTCATAGCTACTACTGAACCATTATTTTGCAGGGACTAAAGAAAGGGAAAAGAGCTTAAATCAGGGACTGAAATAACCCATCCTATAAAATTATTCTAGATATAAGGTTGGTATCATCACCCCCGCCTCCCCAATTTCTTATAATTCCACTGTAAATCCTAAAAAAAAAAAGCAAGTATTTGTATTCTAATGAATTTTTATACAAGATTTTAGGTTAAATTTCAGTTTATGTATTCAGACAGCCTAAATTTTAAAGCTAGGGTATATAAAACCTGCCTTTAAGAGAAAGTCAAAAACTCTACAGAAAGAAAGAAGATACTGTATTTACATTTTAACATTATCACACTCTTACAATTCTCAATATATTCCAACTGTCTCAATGTTGCACTTCCTTCTCCTTATTGTTGCTTTTCCGATTGTTCCAATTGTTACACTGAGTATTTCCCTCTTTGCTACCTTCTTTTGTTAACTTCTGAATGGAAGCATTACCTCAGACATGGCTTGAAATTCATGCCCTTTTATCTTGTTCTGAGAAGCATCAGAAATATGGTTCTTTCAAGTTCCTAGTCAATTCAACTGCAATGTGACACAAAATCTCAATCAACCCTCAGCTTCCTACATAGGAGAAAGCATTATGTTGCCTACCTGCAGCTTCCTGTCCCTTGTGGGCACTACACATTTTTCTAGGTAATATTTTCAAATACACTTTGCTTTCAAACCAAATGCATTTCTGATTTCATCTGGAGATGCTGTAGCATGTTACAATTTACGTAAAGGCATCACGAACAGTACCCACAGCAACAGCCCAGCACTTGAGCCTCTAGTAAGACATACCTTTATGATTTTCAATTTATGTCGGGGACTGGCTCTGTAAAATACTGCGACCTGTTAAAAGCACAACAAAGAAGTAGTGGAAATTTGTGAAATGTCAAGAATTGCACTGTATTCTATAAAGCTAGAGGATAAAAAATACTATTAAAGGCCAACTGTACTCTTTTAAACTGTAAAGTTGAAGCACCAGTGAGCTGTGTTTTTAATAGAGGGAAATCATTAATTTCAGAGAAGATTCAAAGTGAGTTCAGGTAAACAAAGTTGGTGCTATTTATTTCAAGCTAGAATATGTAATTTAAAAATTATTATTATTATTCTGAAATTATGAAGCAACTGAGTTACAATGGCTTGCTGCTGGCCTTCCTGACTACACTCACACAGGCGGTTGCCATGCTGACTCTACAATTCACGCCCTTTCTCCTTGTCAGCTCTAGTGGCAAGCTACTCAGGACATTTCAATTCTACTAGTTTATGTAGCACATTACTAACAGATTGAAGTTTTAAAGCTAAAAAATAAAGATTCCAGCTTAGAAAGAATTATTAATTTTCAGATTTTTTGTCGTCTCTGGTCTTCTGTGTCAAGTGAAATTTGAGCAGGTGGAATTTAGTTTTCCATAAACTCCATACTGTTAGCATTCACAGCTATTTTTCCTTTTTAAGAAGCTGGATGAGAAGCAAGAGTTCTTAACAGCCACTTTAGACTGCAAAGAGATATCAATCTTATTGGTTGATTTAATTAATTCCTAATAAGATTTTAAATAAATGCCTAGAACACAAATTGGATCTTAGGTCAAACAATTTGTAACTATTTCAGTTACTTAAGGTGGACAACCCTTAAGGACAAGTATTACCAAATAAACCAAAAATTACTATTTGCCATATAATTTTTTTTTCTAAGTCTGTTCTTATGAGTTACCAAGGAAAGACACAAAGCTGACATGCACATTACTTGACTGTAAATATTGGGTTTTGTCTTGTTTACGTGAGACTCAAGCATGCTGCAGTCTAATTTTGCAGTCTTTTGCAAACAAAGCAGCATTTTGATGCATAAATGTTGCAACACAGCCAAGCCAGAACCTCAGTTGGATTTGATTATGCCTTCACATTTACATTGAATAACTCAAAAAGTATTAAGCAGTAACTTAAAAACAGACCCTTTCAGAATTCTCAACCAGTGACCTCAGATGGACTAAAAATCATTAAAGATACAGACAGCTTCTCCTACAAATTACCAAAGGATGGACTGTCTGAACATGCAAACTGTAACGTTATAGATATATGAGCTGAACTACTCAAAAGAAATAAAATGGTCTAACAATACAAAAAGGTGATGATGTGCACTGAAAGTGAGAGTTGGCGAAATGGAAGTTCCAATACAGGCACTGAAAGGTAAAAACCAAATTGAACCAATAAAAGGAGCAAAAGTAATAAATGACTAAAGGCATAATCATGTGAGTTCAAAGAAATATATTTTCTTATGGTCATAAACTGAAAGATACTTGTTTGGTCTGGTAGAGCTTCTGTGCTTCTTTACTAAAAGCTTCTGGTAATGTACTGTATCACTTACTTCTATTAGAACCGTGTTATGTGTATCTCAGAAGTTACATTTTAGCTTTCCACAGAAAAAAAACATTTCTCAATATAAAATATATCCTTTACTGCATTTCAGTAAGTAGTATTCAAAACAAACCTTTGGTGTTATTTGAGAAAGCTGCTGAATATCCAGATCATCTATTTCTTCTCCAGAGATTGCCTGTGAATTTTTGGAATACAATCCTAGTCGACTAGCTGGAAAGAAATAATAAAAAGGTATCATAATAATTTACCCTTTTAAAGCATTACGCACCCAATTTTATTTTTTTTTTTTAAACCTACTATTTTCTGCAGCATTTCAGATTAGAAATGCCCAGAGCAGAACATCTTAACACCTTACTGATTCAGTATACTGGAATAAGTTACCTGAACTCTTGAGTAACAAATGCACGCTACAAAGTCTGTTCTAATCAGATATTCATTTCCTTAGACTTTTTAAGCCTCGAGATCTGTACTTCATTGTGTCAGGTACCATAGAAGCACAAGAGCTCAGTCCTCTCTAAAGAATTCACAGTTCAAAAACAAGGAGAGAAAATGAAAAGTGTCATGGGAGAGACAAGGAAAAAACCCTCTGAGAACGTATTGCAAGTTTGGGGGTGTACTTGTACTTTAAGGTATTATATTATCAAAAGACATTAAGAAATCTGTTTAAATACTTATTAACAGTACTTAAACTTCAAACTTAGTTATATGGACAAAACTGTGCTGGAAAGTATTGAAGTGCCATACCCACCCTAAACACTCATTGTCACTGACTATTTTAGTTTCTCCCTGTTGCTGTAAGACAGGCACACAAAGCTGAGCGTAGGGAGGGTAGTGTTGGGGGTGTAAGAACAAGAAGCAGAAATCAAGTATATGTTTAACAAAATACAGTAAGAAAATAGATAGTCTCAAACCGCAGAAGTCATACATTAACCAAATTACAAAAACTACAGTTTAAGCTGAAACCAAAGTATCACTTCAGCCTAGGGTGTTATTTTTGGGGTTTTTCTTAATCCGCTTAATTCCACGGTGCCCTATGTTAACCCAATGTACAGAACCCACAAGTGTTACTTAATACCCATGCTTCACAACAATTAGCTAGGCACTGCCAAAACAGAAAACAAGTGAAAAATGAAAGGAAGTGGACTATTCATACCAATGGCAACTGCAGTCTCCTGTGAATCTCCAGTAATCATTTTAATTGCAACTCCTGACATGATAAGTGTAGTGACAGCTTCTTTTACACCAGTCCGTGGAGGATCGACTATTCCCACAAGCCCCAAAAAAGTCAGTTGTCCTAACTCAGGACCAGAAGCTAAAGCCAGAACTTTTAGGAGACAAAGGAAAAAAAAAAGTTAAGATTTGAAATTAACATTTACATCAGCATTTAGACTGTTTTAAACTAGTAGGCCAGCATAAAGGAAAGGGCAGGAATTGCAGTTTATTTTTTTTTTTAAACCTTGGTAGCAACATCTGTTATTTGAGTATTCCGCATAGCCTACTTATGTATATGGCTTTCTTCTAAAGAGTACTCTTTTTACCAAACATACATATTCCACATTTTAAAGACAACCTTCCTATTTGTTCTCAGATTAAAGTGTTTATACTGTGTGGAAGGAGAATGGCATCTAGCTTTGTGGTTTCTCTGTATATGCACGGTCTTTTATGCAAGACAAGAGGAGCAGTTAATGTATTTTTATTTTCTGCCTTTTTTTTTTTCTTTTAGAGAGGCAGGTTTCACTGAGTACATGGTGAATATTTTCTGGGAGTACCTTTTACAGTAGGAATCTTAATTCATTTAAATTACTTTAGAGTTGTAAGGGAAAAGCAAATTAATTTTTTTCAGAACATTACCCTACATTTTTTAATTTGACAGTGGTCCAAAGTAGACACAAAGAATGACTGTCCAAAAAAACACAGCACAAAGAGATACCACTCCTAGCATATCATCTCAGTTTCTAATAATTTACATCCTAGGAATTTCCTCAGCCAGAGTACCCCCATCTTAAAACAAAACAAAAAGCTGTGAATGGACTTAATAGTCTAGAAGTCTCTTTACAGAGGCCAAAGAAAACCAGCCACATATAATGTTTGCCCACAATCACCTTCTATCAGTCACCTTGTGAAAAATACTTCCAGTTGTATTTAAAAATCTACACAGCTTGTTAACATAAAAGGTGATTCTAATGGCATCTTCTGACCTGCACTCAGTTGAGCTAGCCCAACTCACAAAGGTGCCAGGAGCCAAAGTAATAGAAAAACATATTCACATTTGAAAACATCCACAGACATCTACAACGAGATATGGAACCTATCAGGTAGCAAAGTACTGTTCAGTTATGGTCCTATGCGAGAGAGGATAAGAACTGGCAGTGCCTTTTCTCACCCTTTGCAGTTTGATCATGTTATTATACAGGCCTTACGCAACAACACCTGTTTTTCCACTCCCCCATTTTTAAGAAAAACTAAACAACCTAGTGGCACATACTAAACAAAAAAAAAAAAAAAAATTCCTAGTGTTTTTGGTTGTTCTTGGTTATTTTGAGACACTGAAACAGCCTTACCCCTAAGTCCCGCAGAGCCCATAGATGTCTTCTCGTGCTCGTATTGCTCTCTCTGTTGCTGAACAAGAGGTAGGGTCTGCCCCTTACAGTTATATGATGTACAGTACCTAATGACTTGCTCATAAGCACCTTTCATAAAGCAAACTTCAGGTTTGTCCTGAAAGGAAAAAACATTGTTGTGTGCACATATATGTATGTATATATAAATACACATACACACACACAGGTACATACATGTGCACACCTAAGACTGGCATACCTGTGCTTTCCTTCAGAGTCTTCAGAACATAATCCAAACCAAAGTTACACTTCTAAATTTAAAAATCTGTTCTTTTGAGTATCTCTACGCAGTGTATGTTCAAGAGTGGTAATGTCAAGAGAGCCAAGCTAATAATCAGTATCTCATTTCATCAGACATCATACACATTAGACATTGCGGGTCAACAGTTTATAGACAAAAGAGGCCATGCAAAGGACAGAAATTAAACCTACACAGAACATTAGACCCGAAAGACCTTTAGCTCATCATCTGACCAGATGCACAGGTCATTAAACATCACCTGCATCCTTGTGCCATCCTCACATTTTCCAGGTGGTATACAGGGACTGAGAATCCACCAGCTACCTCCAACACTTAACTCCAATGCTAAATCAACTCATCCCTTCCCTTCCTCCCTTTTTCATTAAGAATTGCTGCCTCAGCTCAATTTCCAACCACTGATTCTCATCTTCTCTCCTGCAAAAAAATTTTTTTTAATATATCAGTTTTCTCCCTGTGAAGGTATTTAGTAGTCACGTTACCACAACCTTTCTGATAGGCTTAACCAAGAGAGCTCCAAGTTTCTAAACTCACTGCATTTTCCTAGTTTTCAAATAATTTATGCTCCCTTTAAAACTGTTAGCAATTTTTCAATAATCTTTTAAAAACGCTGATACCAAACACTGACACTGTAAATCCTTACATGGATGACAATCATATAGAAATTCCTGCTCACCACTCTTTGGACAGACAAGGGTAATATAACCATATTACCCATACAGATAAAAGGAGTCAAATGCTTTGTTTCCAATGCAAAGATTTTACTGTGATACTTGAACGCTGTCAGCAAGCCTTTTTTTGGTGAGAAGTACTAGGAAATTTTCCATAAATCCACAATAAGGTCTCTTGTTGCACATATTACCTAGAAGGCTCCAGTTATCAGACTGGCAGTGACTATTGTCAATAATTGTAACAAAAACATTCAGATTGGTCTAAATTCAATATGAATGAAGGTGAAATGTGAAAGCACCAGAAGCTAGAAAAAGAGGTTAAAGAATGGTTTGTATTGATAATCCAGGACACTGTTGACATCAGTAAAGGCTGTCACTAGGGAACATGCTGTCTGCATCAAAACCAGAAAAACCTGTGTTTTCAAACAAAAGAAATTCTGCTATTGAACATCAAGGCACCTTCTTGCTCTTCATTCATTATGTAGCTATGTAGCACTGAAACAGGAGAAGATTTAGATGTCTGAAGGGGGAGGAGAAGGAAGAAAAAACAGCCAGCTATACATTCAAAGTCTCAGATATCAAAATAGTTAAATTAGTTTCCCAGTATGTCTTTTATGGAAAGAATTTCTGGTGATTCTTCATCTCCACTTCAGAGCTTGAAACTAAAACTGTATCTATTATCAAACCATATTCTCATGACTGTGCACTACTACCAGCCTGCCATAATTTCTGAAGTGAAAAACGAGGATATTAAACAAGCTAAATAACCGTTCTACAGAGCCCGAGCACAAGGAAACAGTGATTGAAGTTTACCTGCTGCGTTCTGTGAACACATTTAACAGCCATCCATTTTTGTTCTGAGCTGAAGGGATATTCGGCCTTCCTTATGTAGTCTTCCTGGACTCCATCTAAACCCATCTGTATAAAACAGAAGTACTGCCACAACGTCAGGGCCTTTTCTTTCAAACAGCTATGCCATTTTTTGACTTGTTCAGACATCTTCGTTAACAATCACTACTTCGTTAAAAAACAGTTTCAACTCCAAAGTTGCTTTTCAACACACTGATCCAGTTTAGACAAAATTCTGACAAATTAGCACTGACAGAACTTAGATGCTTCTTTCAGGAATCAGCGTAAGTCAGACCACTTAACACAATCTTTGATCGAAGGATCTTGAAATACTTTGTAGATCACGACCATCTACAAACACAAGTCTTCCAATGGCTAGCAATGTAGCTCTTGGTTTGACAAAACATATCTATCGCCCCAATGCCTTTTTTTTTTAAATCATCTATGCAATTTCTCTGCTAGGAGGACCTACAAAATCGTCACACGAGACTTTGGCAAAGTCCAGAGAAAGCAAGTTACTGATTTTACATTTAAATGAATAAACCTGAAATGACTTTTTTTAAGTGATCAGAATCACCCAAACCATGAAAACTCCAGACAAAATGCATTTCATTTCAAATGCTGTTCTCTCCCCACCCCAATGCAACTGACAGCATTCCACGCTCTACCCTAATGGGCAAGTCCAAGAGAAAGTGCCCATTAAAGAAGATGGAGAAGCAGCAGCCTGCCATAAGCCATTCTCAGTACTTACAGAACTTCACAACTTCTTCACTACCTCCCTTTCCAGCAACAGATGTGAAAGACTCCTGTTCTTCTCAGTTTCTGTTGGCTCTTGCCAAAATAACATCACTCTGGTCCTTTCCAGTCAAAGACTGGGGACTTGGAATGAGCCTCAGCAAGAAGATAGATATATCTTGGGCCTCAGTTACACAGGGAAAGACAGACTGTAATGCATTCACACAGAATCACAGAACGTTAGAGAT